TTTGCCAAGTCACATATGTCATTGAAGATCATTTGCTTACTGTGGGATAAGGAATGTAGGCATCAAGAAGACAGACCTGTCTGTGACCTCACATGCAGTGAACATATTAGGTGTTTCTCTCTATATAAGAAAAATGGCAACAGCAGGACTGTACCATAGAGGACACGGGCAATTCTGGTTTTATGCTAAAAAGGAAGCATTTGCATTATCTCCCAGAATTTCCAGAGCTTCAACCTTATACTACAGTGTTCAGATGTTATCTGGAGTTGGCTCTATTTTGTATCATGGTATCTTAGCCCTTCCTAGGTTCCTAGGTTGTTTTTTGTTTCATTCTTTCCACAAAAATTATTCCGTGCCCGCTGGGGGTAGAGTAGTGAATAAACCCAACTGAGTCCAGCCCTCCCCTTGTACATTCCAGTTGTGGGAGGGAGACTCAGAGCCAGAGAACAAATAAACAAAGGATGGGACAAGGGCTTTAGAAACAAAATGAAATGGCCTTATGGAACTCATGCTTCCCTCAAATTGCTATGCTGAGCCCTAATTCCAATGTGAGGATGTCAGAGAAGGGGCTTTAGCAGGTAGTTAGATCATATGGAGGAAGCCCTCCCAAATGAGATTAGTGCCCTTATACAAAGAGGCCAATGGCTAGCTCACTCTCTCTCAACCATGTGAGAACACAACACAAACGCAACTCAAAAGAGGGCCCTAATAGAACCCAACCATGGCTGATGGCACCATGATCTCAGACTTCCAGCATTCAGAACTGTGAGAAATAAATATCTGTTGTGTATAGCCACCCAGTTTATGGTATTTTCTTACAGCAGCCCAAACAAAGGCACCAGGTAAGGAGAATGGAGTGAGCTAGGGTAGCAGGGGAGGGTTTGAGACAGTAGACAGGGACTCAGGGAAGACTTCACTGGAAAGGTGATTTTCAGGAAGAGACTAGTAAGAAGCGAGGGAGAAAAGAAGTAGTTCTTGGGGAAGGAGCCTTCCAGACAGAGGGAGCAAGTAAAAGGCCCTGAAGTGGGTGTGTGCTTGGGTAACATGTGCAGGGCATCAAGCGGGGCAGGGAGCACAGCAAAAAAAAAGAGGGCTGGGGGGGATGTGGCAGAAGCAAGGGCCAGGCCGACAGAGTCAGAGAATACCTCAAGGACCTCAGCTTGTCACTGGTGAGACAGGAGCCTCTGGAAGGATCTGGGTCAATGAGGCTTGTGGCTGAACCTTCATCTTCTCTTATTGGGATCATACTCACTGGTATATTGAGGGGAGGTAGGGACTGACACACAAAGTTGGGCTAGGAGTCTCCACAATAACATGGGTGAGAGAGGATGATGGATTAGACCAGGGTAGAAGCAATGGGGTTGACTTGCGGTGGTAAGAATTGGATCTGTTTTGAAGGTCGAACTGCCAGATCAGATGTGGGTGTGAAAAACAAGAGTTAAGGGTGACTCTGAGGCTTCTGCTCTGAGTAAATGAAGACAATGGAGCCACCATTTATCCCAAATGGAGACAGCTACTGTAGGGGCCAAGGGCAGGCTGCCCAAAATGTTCCACTTTGTCATACTGATTATTTTATTTTATTAATTTACATTCAATTATCCAACATATAGTACATCATTAGTTTTTGATGTAGTGTTCAATGATTCATTAGTTGCATATAACACCCAGTGCTCATCACATCACATGCCCCCCTTAATGCCCATCATACTGATTATTTTAAATAAAAGTTACCTAAAAAGGCCTGTGCAAGAAGGATACTCAGACCCTCCTCTGTCCCCCTGAAAGCAGGAAATAAATTTCTCCCATGAAAGGTACCATCCCTGGACCAGGAGCTAAAGAGACATCCTTATCACCAGAGATAGGAAAAGAGCCAAGAAGGCTGTAGAAACAATCTTTCTTACTTTTTGCTAATTTCTCAGCACAGTCCAAATTTCCTTCAGAATTCCTTACTAATTAAAACTCCCAAAGACAAGGGTCTTTTCCTGTCAATTCCTCACAAATTTATTGTCTTTTTGTCTAAGAAGCTTAAAAGTATCTGTCTTGGTCATTTCTGTAGGTCTCAATGCCATTATTGGGCCTCCATGTGCACATAACAAAACTGTGTTTTCTCCTGTTATTCTGTCTCATGTAAATTCAATGTTAGGCCAACTGGAAGGACCTTAATGGGCAGAGAAAGATTTTTGCTTCTCTTCACTATGGAGGTGGCAAGTGTGAAAGGAAAAGAAGGGATGGTCTGGAATATACTAGGGTTAAGAGCCTGCTGGGTGCGCACATGGGGACACCAGGGAGGAAGTTGGGTTGGTGCTGTTAGCACCTGAATGGTGCCTTAAGCCAGGATACTGGATCCTCCAACTCCTGAGACAAGGAATGGCTGGACAGACATGAAGAGACAACAGAGGGAACTTTGGAGTCTGAGTGAATTAGGAGAAAAACCTAAGGAGAGGTATCCAAACACTAAATGAAGAAAGATTTAAGGAAGAGGGACCAATCAACTCTACCAAATGCCCTGAGAGACCTATTGAGATAAGAGGGGAGAAAAAAATCAATCCCTGGAAAAGACAAAACAATGGTATTCTACCCCTGGTGCGGAGTAGGGGGACAGGGCAGGTATTGACAGGTAAGGGACACAAGATATCACCCTGGATGATGGCAAAGTTCTGTTTCCTGAGGAGGGTGGGACTGAAGAGCTGAAAGCATGCCTGGCAATTCACTGACCAGTACACTTAGGATCTAGGCATTGTACTGTACCTAAAATTTTGCCTTGAAAGACACCTTAGTCAAAGAGCTGCATGAAACACATGGGTGAAGGTGACCACTGTCTGCTCTTCTACTTTAAACAGAATTTAAAAAGAAGCTACATCTATAGGAAGATGGATAGATGGCCAAATATGGGAGAAAGCAAGAATTACGAAGTGCTAATTATAGAGTCTAAGAGGTGAGGACATAGACTCACTGTGACTTGACTGAGCTTGAAATTTTTGAAAATTTTCATCAAAAAAACTGGGGAAAATTGTTATTCATAGTACAACATTCAGCAAACTGGGGTTAGTGGTTTGTTCACCCCAAGCCAGGACAGGGTGAGTTTAACTGAGAACACATGGGAAGATGCTGGGGACAGCCTGGGCCCAGGGAGACACCACTTGGAGGAACATTCCTGTAAAGGTGAGGAGGAAACCAGAGTCACTGGAGGGGTCAATGGGGACAAACTGAGCTCTGCCTGTTTGCTGAGAATGACCTGCAGACACTATTATGATGTTAGAGGCAACAGGGAGGACCATGAAAGCAAGGTTCTCAGCAGGTACTAAGAGAGGGAACCCCTTCTCAGGAGGGAGAGCCCTTCTCTAAGGGGAGCATTGACCCTGTGCCCGTGATAAAAGGAGGGAAGCTGGAGCAGGTGTGCACAGGCTTTGAAGTAGGATGTGCTCACTAAAGAATGTTGCTTTAAATCCTGCAGCGCAATCTCTAAAAGGTTCTTTGAGGGATCTCACATAGAGCGAAGCTTATTTGTGGGATACAAGGCAGATGGCTTTGCATGAATCCATTTTCTCTCCCTCGACTTCCACACGCATTCCCACTAAAACTCACCTGCCCAAGAACCACCTGGGAGTACCCCTTTCCCCACGTTTACTTCTCTCATTTCTCCTTACAAAGAAAGGCCTATTTCCCTTACCTCAGCTCCTATCTTGGGACAGTGGCCCAATAAGGAACAAGTCAATTCAAAATGTCAGTATCTATGCATTAAAACTTGGGTGACAAAAACTTTCAAATGATCTTTGGTGGGTTTTAATTCCTTTAATTCCTTGCTTTCAACAAAACTGAAAGAGAAACTAATCAAGTTGTCAGCTGATACATCCTGATAAAACTATATTATCTTTGGCATGTCATCTGGAAGAAGTTCAAGGAATTGATTAACATTGCTGTAAGAAAATGTCTCTCATTATGAGTGACATATTATTACATCTATTTTAAAAAGTCATAGAACTGATGGTGAAATCTGCATCAGTGTCTCATTTCTGATAATAAAAAATAGTCATCCATGAATACATGAATTAATTTAAAACAAAAACCCATCTTTGGTAGAGAGATGAATGTTACCTTGATGAATTAAGTACCAATAATCATTGTAAACCTAAATCAATCTAGAAGAAAAAAAATTAACATATTGTCTAAAAGAATAGTTTTTTATGTAAATATTTGTATTTAAGAGAACCAAGACAGAGTGATTAATAAAAGACCTGCAAACACAAAATTATATTATGTTAAGATAAAATTCTGTGTGAAAATTAGAATTGCAATGCCAGTGCACAGAAGACAGGGACTGTGTGAAATAGCTGGCAGTTAAAGAAGACCCTGTTTATATATTTCTTAAGTGAATGATATGGATATCAAATTATTATGGCATTTAGATTCCACTTAAAAATAGAGACTAACAGTTTTACTTCCAAATGTCAATATTTACAATTTGACGGAAGAGACATCATTTGCAATTCTTTAAATTTAGGTGAGAATTTTAGATGTCAAGTTAAAAATCTATGAATGGAATATAGCATTTCCAAACATTTGCAGGGGCCACTGAAGCACTTAAGTGTGGAGGCCTCTGGCTTAGGCAACTCCTTAGGATTCCAATATGTGCATCCAGGGGGCACGGCGAGGTGGGGGAGGCAGGTGCCCCTGAGCCCTGGAGTCCAGTTAGTACAGGTTACAGACACCTTACAGACAACGCAGAGCTTAATCTTATTATTTGTTCTGCATGAAGTGGTTTTAAAATGTCCCTCAAATCACCCTATAGAGAAACACGAGCATGCACTTGATCCTGCAGGATGCAATGAAAAACGCCAGAGTGGGCATTCTAGTTCACATACACTGGCATGTGTGCAGTGAGGAAGGACTGCCCTGGCTTTTCTCAGGGGTCCTCTGCTTCCCCTGAATTTCAAGCACTGGCTACTGGGAAGCATGAGCAGGAAGACTGGCAGGGGAGGACTGCCATTGTCTCGACTTACCATCTGCAGCCAAATGTTGGTGGTTAAAACTTGGTTCTTCTCATCCTTCAAAGAAAAAGAAAGACCCATATAAATATGGTTTATATGGTTTACAAAAGAGGGAATGATACTGTTATTCATGCAGGAATCGGATTGCTGAGACTGCTGGAGTGTGTGGAAATTAGGAGGCATTGAGCGCTTCCAAATACACACAAGCAGCATTTCCCCAGAGTTAAGCTTTTCTCTTTATCCTGAAATTATGTACATTATAGAGCACTTACAAAATATGAAGAAGTATAAAGAAGAAAATTAAAACCCCACAGCCCCGTTATCCAGAGATAACATGTGCTAATGATTTAGCTTATTCTCCTTTGTAACCTTTATATTAATTAATATGCTTAAGAAAATAAAATTGGGTACAAATTCCAATTCCTTAAAGTCAAGTTTATTACCAGAATGTATACAGTTTTAAACAAATATCAATATCTCGTGCTTCCCTCCCCCAGGAAAGGGAGTATGACCCTAAGGCAGCAGACACACTGTATGCCAATGGTGCTGCGTGGGTCACATTTCTGCCTGGTCCCTGTGGATCTGCCTACCTTTTCTCTCATCTTCTAGTTACCAAGAAGGATGCCTGGCCCCTGACACACACCTACAAGGTAAATTCTGTCCTAATGAGCAAACCAAGTTTCAGAAAGGTAAGATGACTCTCGGAAGGAGCTAATCAAACTTGGATCTCTGACTCAAAGCCCCTTTTTCCCACATTTCCAAACCACCTAAGGATGGGATCCAGCAGGGTGCCAAGTCTGTGCTCTAAGCAGAGCTTGGGATAGTGTACCAACCATGGCTTTGCCCCAGCACAGGACGTCTAAAGAAGATTCTAGGCAATATCAACCTTTCCAGCCGGGATGCAAGCATCATCTTATCAGAGCTGGCCAAGCCCAACATGGCCCAGCAAATACCAATGTGTACAGGCTAATGAGCAAGTTTCCTGCAATAGTTCTACTGCAATGGTGTTATGCAGAACTTAGCACCCAATTCCCACCTAAACGACTCTGTAAATTGGCAACTGCCACTCTCTTTAGGAGAAAGTATTAAGCAATGCCCCCCAAGTAGATGTGCCTAGAAGCTAAGACTGTGAGTTCCTCCACCAGGATTCACCTGGCCCCATTAACTGATGGCCTACACAAAAACAGACCCAATAGAAGAAAGAACATGGCATCTGCTGAGGTGTGGTCAGAGGGCTGGGATGCAAATGAGAAATAAATGCTGTTTCCCATTAAAATAAAAGTGTGTTGAATATGTAAGAATTTGGCAAAGATTCTTTGATGCACCAATGCCCCTGGCTCAGTAGCTCACACCCGGAGCAACTTTGAGAGGTGAACTTGGCAGGCAAGGAGGTATGTGAATCCCAAAGAAAGAACAGAGCTGCTTGGGAAGGGACAGGTAACAACATCCTAGTAAAGTCCCGGGTTGCAGCTGTGTCCAGAAAATGCTGTCAGTTCGGTTAAAGCAAAAATACACCCTATTTTTCAAAATAAAACATGGCAGTGTCTTTTTGTGGAATAAGTTACATAGCTGACGCCTCTCAGTATTCTGTACTGAGCAAATGGTCCCCGATAGAGCTGTGTATTTGCACCGCAAGAAAACTCTTGTTCCGGGTCAATCTCCGATATTATTTGAAAGCATCAGTGAACTCTTTTAGGACATATATCCATTGCATCAACTTATTAAGGAGTTGTTGTTTTTAATGGACTTAAAATTAGCCAGTGTTCCATTTGGGTGGCTTTCCTTCTTTTAATTGCATCTGTGTCTTCAGCTTCTGAGAAAAAAGCTTCTGTGGTTTGGGAGCTCAATTACTACCAATCTAATTAAAAGGCTTTCTTCTTTCCAACATTCTAACTGAAACCTCATTAGAGTGAAACGGAGTTTCTGTGGTGTGTAGCAGCATGGGACTGAAGTGCCGGCATTTCAAACTGTAATCAACACTGAGCAGCAGCCAGCTACCGCCGGAGAGCACAACGATGCCAGGTAGGGGAGCCCTCCACAGAGACTCCAGGGACCAGCCCACAGATCAGCAAGGAGGCTGCTGTGTGCATTCCCAGAGTGGGTCTCTTTCTCCTGCTTCCATCCCAGGGCCACCCGCTGGCTGTGTCTCTCAGCTTTCTCAGTCTGCACAGCGACAAGATGTCCTACCTCTTTCCCACCCCCGGGTGTAGTGCTCCCTCTCCATCACACATTGAATGTTTGTGTCCCCCGGAAATTCCCATGTTCAAACTTAACCCCCACCGTGATGACATCTGGAGGTGGGACTTTTGGAAGATTAGGTCATGACAGCAGAGCCTCTGTGAATGGGATTAGTGCCTTATAATAGAGACCCCAGAAAGCCCCCTCACCCCTTTGGCCCTGTGAGGGCACAGGGGAGAAAACAGCTATCTATGAACCACAAAGCAGGTTCACACAGACACCAGATCGACCAGTGCACTGATCTTGGATTTCCCAGCATCCTCACCTGTAAGAAATAATTGTGTGTTGTTTAAGCCACCCAGTCTGTGATATTTTTGTTATAGGAGCCCAAGCTGATGAAGACAGTACCCCACCACACACTGACTTCTACTCAGCTCCAGATGGGGCTCTCTGCCCTTATCCAGCTGCACTGCTGAAAGAATGAAGTCTAAGGTTCCTAGTGTAGTACACAGCCTTTTCTACAAGCCACAGTCCAGCCAAGTGTTCATTCATTTATTCATTCATTCACTCATTCAACAAATGTTTGCAGAGCACTTCCTGTCTCATTGCCATCCGGGCAGATACAGTAGGAACTGAACATCATTCTTGAGCTCGTAGAATGTAGAATGTGAGTCAGGAATGGGATTAGACAACTCAAGAATGATGTAATTACAAAAGGTGACAGAAAAGGAACAGGGTACCTTCAGAGAGAATGACAGGGATGGGGTCCCAAGGATGAGTCTTCCTTTTGACACCCTATGATACTGGAAGACCAAAAGACATGGCTCCCTTATGACATCACCTGTATCATTTGCCCTTCAAGACCTCACTCCGCCTCACCTCCCAGGACCTGCCCTCTCCCTACCCTCCTCCTTTCTCCTGCCCGGACTGAGGCTGCTTCCTGACTCAACAGCAGCTCCAGCACAGAGCCAGCAACTCAGCTCAGGACCTCGGCTTTGCAAAGGAGAATGAGGAGCACTGAGGAGAGACATGAGAGATTATAGCCTGCAAGAATTCAGCCTACTTCAGAAAGCACCTGGCAACCCGCTCCTGGAGTTATAAACACAGAGGATAGCCACCTGCCTGCAAAGGACACTGACACCTCTCAGTGGCCCTCCAAGTGTGCAGCTTAGGTGACCCAGGGCCTGCGCAGTCTACAGTGGCCAGATCTCCTACACACCCTGGTGCCCACGCCAGCCTCTAGCCCTTCCTTCTTGCCACCCCCAGGATACCCACAGTGCCCTACTTCCTGAGCCTTCTGCAAGAGGGCCCAAGGCAGAACTTTAGCCTGAATTCAACTATCATGCCTCAGGGTTTGCATTGCTGTCCATGCTGAGGTGATGTGGAGAACTGGGCACGGAGACCGAGGCTATGGTTTAGAAAGTTGGCAGATGGAGCTGTGGTTCCCAGATGCCTCTCTGGCCTCGGGCATTTGGATGTTCCTGGCAGGGTTTTCAGGGGCTCCACTCTCATTGTCCAAAAGCTGTCCTTATTCAACCCGGGAGGGAAGCTTCCTTCCCTCTCAAGTAAACATCGTCCACTGACAGAAAAGCCATCAGCCTTCTGCACTCCCTTGAGCTTGTTTAAATCCTGAATTAGCTGATGAAGCTGCTTTCAATAATCTCTTTCCTCATGAGCTGGGTGGCACACTGGTCAAACACTGGGATTCCTGCAGGGAGGGGGAATGATATCTCCAAACCCAAGTCCCAAACCCTAGCCCCAAGGTCTCTGAATAAATAACCAGCAAGCAGCGCAGAATCTGAACATGGGTTTCAGTGATTCCAGACCCTCAGGCGGCTGCCTGGTCATCCCTGTTCTGATCCAGCCCTGCAGGACAGCGTGGAGGGGTAGACCCCATACAGCAGAAGACCCTCCAGGCTCCAATCTGAGCCCTCCAATTACAGGCACTCAGTTTCTGTGGGTTCCAATTTTCTGTCCGAGGAAATAAGGAGATAACAGATGCCCTGACCACCTTCTAGAGTGGAAGAGGCAAGGAGAGCATCCTGCAAACTGTGACATGTGACTCAGTGCCAGTGGCTGTCCCTGTGCAGCTGCCCTCACCACACAGCTCTCCTGCCATGGAATCACAGGAGGCCCTTGTGGCAAAGCAACCCCAGAGCCAACTAGTCTAATGCCTCCTTGTTTTTTTGTTTTTTGTTTTATTCCTAGCACCTCAGAATATTATTCAGCCTTAAAAAATATGGAAATTCTTTTTTATTTCTTTTTTTAAGTTTAATTTTATTTTTTCAGTGTTCCAAGATTCATTCTTCATGCATCACACCCAGTGCTCCATGCGATACTTGCCCTCCTTAATACCTACCACCAGGCTCACCTAACCCCTCACTCCCCACCCCTTCAAAACCCTCAGTTTGTTTCTCAGAGCCCACAGTCTCTCATGGTTCATCTCCCCCTCCAATGTCCCCTAATCTACTTTTCCTTGCGTTCTCCTAATGTCCTCCATGTTATTCCTTATGCTCCAGAAGTAAGTGAAACCATATGATAATTGACTTTCTCTGCTTGACTTATTTTACTCAGCATAATCTCCTCCAGTCCCGTCCATGTTGATAAAAAAGTTGGGTATTCATCCTTTCTGATGGAGGCATAATACTCCATAGTGTATATGGACTGTATCTTCTTTATCCATTCGTCCGTTAAAGGGCATCTAGACTCTTTCCACAGTTTGGCGATTGTGGACATTGCTGCTATCAACATTAGGGTACAGATGGCCCTTCTTTTCACTACATCTGTATCTTTGGGGTAAATACCCAGTAGTGCAATTGTAGGGTCATAGGGAAGCTCTATTTTTAATTTTTTAAGGAATCTCCACACGTTCTCCAAAG